AATTAAGATATCATACCATTGCGGAAAAACTAAAGTAATAAAAACCTTAATTCATTTAACACTAAATAGATAAAAACATAATCCTCACGTTTAAAACTTCCAAATAATAATATGAAATCATTACATTATAATAAAATGAAACCATTTAAAACATAAATTGGAAAAATCCCCACAACACTCCCTAGCATCTCGATGTGCATATGTAGGATCGTTTGCTCCCGTATAACAACACAAGTTATATGATCATCGCATAACACAACAAACAATAAGGGTGACCTAACAGAAAAACCATTGAATATGAGAACACAAATACAATAAACATTGATCATCTTATTAATACTATCGACATGTCACACCAAAAAGACCATCTCAATTATAAGTCACACCCATAACACACCACAATCAAGCAATTCCAAAACCATGTGTCGTTCTTCCATACCCTGCTATACAAAACTTGTTCACTAAAACAAGTTCATTCGAGTCATCTTCTTCTGCAACTTTGGACTTATTTCCCCTGCTCCTCAAGTACTTACGAGTATAAACTTTGTTGTTGCTGACAGTGGGCATTATACTTAGCACAAGTCGGAAACCTACGGTCAGGACATCCTTCCATTTCTACCGCCTCGAAAAACAAAAGACAACACTCGAACCTCTTTTCTACCATCTCTCATAAACAAAGAGATCCATTTTTCTATGTCTCTCATAGACCAAAGGTATGACTCCAACTTTATAAGGTACGAGGAGAAGACATATCATCCACACATCATTACAATTAACACTACTGAGCACACATTTTAACCTATGATAAACAACTCAACAACTAATCAAAACAACACAACCAAAATGTACAGATCTCAAAAACACAAAACGGAACTCAACATTCACAACAACAACTCAATCGACCTCTCAAAGAGCCTAATAACCACAACCAATAGCACAACCAGGGTCTAAACCCCATGTCGACCTCAAAAACATCCCATATGAAGCTCCATAACCCCAAAACCAAGGTCCAGAATAACTCAGACAAGACAGCTCGACCAACCCAAGCCGACCATCCTACAACTTGACCAACTCGGCCATCATGCAGGTCGACCATCCTATAGCTCGGTCAACCTAGCCACTAAGTAGGTTTACCACCCAATAGCTTGGCTATCCTAACCACTAGACAAAGTGATCACCCTGTAGCTCGACCAGCTCGAACACTAAGAAGGTCGACCACCCTATAGCTCGACCAATTAATAAGTATGAAAAAGACTTGCTTTTCATACTTATTAATACTCTCAAATTTTGTAATTATCCATGAATTATGTGTTTTCCTCAGTAAAAATTTAATAGTTAGTAGAAAAGTTTGTGTAGCTTATTGTACAAAAACTTCATACATTAGGGAAGATCAGTCAGTAGTTTCTCGTTAAGCCATATATGACTTACTTAGCTAAAAGGAAGACCACTCACCCAGCGAGCAGAGTGGCTGGCTCAACAAGTGGGATCAATTAAGTGAGGATTAGTTGAGTTTTCGCTCAGTGCATGTATATCTATGCAATGAGCGAATAATATATTTCTAGAAGTTGTTATTAGTTCGAGAAAGACAGAAAACAAGAAAGTCTGGTTTGAAAAGGCGCGAAAATATTCATGGAACTGCAAGACATCATTCTTCACTGATTTTCATCAAACGTGTATATTTTAGATAACTAAGAGTAGCTAGATTTCTCTTTCATTAGAATTAGATGTAATGAATTTATTGTGATGTAAAATTCCTATGTAATTTCGTTCATATTCTCTTTCTTGAATGTACTATCATTGTATGAAAATATAATGCTATTTGAATGTCTCTGTTTACTAGAAAGTAATTTTGAACATGAACATAGATAGAGCACCTAAGTGATTTGGGATCTAGGGGTATATTCAATACTTAGTCATTCTTAGCATTTGACTTAATGCAAATTGTATGCTAAATTGACTAACGGATTAACACTTTGATATATGAATTTAAAACTAGGATTAGAACTAATATGTCTTGATGTGAATATTTGAATGAAATAATAATAAGTTATACAAAGTTTTATCTTTATATGATTCATAAAACTCAATTCCAACGAAGATTCTCTTAAATTTTCAATCATAATATCTAAAATTATTGTTATTACAATTTATTTTCATTATCATGAATTCAATCGTTATCTTTTCTAAACTGATTTTGGTAGATAATTTTGATTAGACAAACAAAACACAAATCCCTTGGGAGAACGATATTTGGAACTTACACTTACTACTTGAAACAAATTTGTTCACTTGCCAAAAAGTTATCATCATTCCGACCACCAATGCAAGCCGACCACCCTATAACTCGGTCAGTTTGGTCACTATGTAGGTCGACCACACTAAAAAATGCAGAAAAACAAAGTAACTAACTATGATACAACATAGTTTCAACACAAAACAGACAAAGAACATACACCAACACATACTAACACATTATGCATCATAAACACAACATTATGAACCAAAGCTAGCATCTAAATTCACGACCACTCTCCAAAGCTTGCATGGATGAGTTCTACTGCAAACCATACCTAAACACAGACTTTGATTAACCCCTCCTTAACGCTTCACTACTGCCAAAATCATTTTCTATGACAATACCAAGGTTCACATTGAATTTGACCCTTGCAGCAAGTTATAAACATTGAAACAACATTGTCTCAATTATGATTTTACTCAAACCTGATCCTACTATTAGAAAACCATGTAATAGACCCATTACTAACCAAGCTCACTTCAATTAACACTACCTGGCTCAAAGAACTGCAAATACTACATGATCCAGCCAACCACCGCTAAACTCAGAACAATCCTTATAGTATATATTATTTTAATGTTGCAGAATTCTATTCTAACCAATGCCACTATCAGAAACCATGATACCATCATAATATCAACTTCAAACAATTGATCATGCACCTAAGTCATATAACAATCATCCCACACCACATATAACAATCCCATTAAATATTAGACTTAAAGTACTGCACCAAACCACGGTTGCACCAAAAACAATGAGCACCCTCAAATTCAAAACCAATCAATAACAATTCCCATCTTTTATAAAAATATATATAGATGACAACGGATCGGATCGGATCGATAGAATCTATTTAATCTGCATGTAAAAGAATATACCGGTTATCCGCGGAATACCCGCATAAAAACAACACATAAATTTTTCCTAACTCAGCATATACCTTTTTCAACCCGCAAATACTTTTTTAAAAAATATAATATTTCATGATTTTTAAAAAGGTCAAATTAAATTGATAAAATAACCTATAGTATTTAAAATATATATATATATATATATATATATATATGAATACAATTTAATGGACAATTAAATAAAAGCTTGAAAATACATAATTTTATTATTTTAAAAATTTGAAAATATAATATATATTGAATTTATTTAAACTTAAAAATAAAATAATTTGAAAAAAATGTTTAAAATAAGTTATTTTTTAAGTCTAGAAATTAATTATATTTTAAAACAATTGTAACAACATATTTTAATTCTTTTTTGTTTTGAAAGTTTTTATAAATTTATTTTGATAAACTATTTAAAAAATATTATACATAAACAAAATTTTAACTAATATTTGGTTTTAACCTCTAAAATAAATTTTTAACTAATACTTAAATATTTTTTATCAACTCACCCCACTTCCATTGACCCCGTCACTGCTACCAGATTGCTACCGGAGAAGAAGAGAAAAAAATGCTAAAAAATCCAATTCCAAAAAGATGTTTCTAAAAAATATTTCATGCTTCGGAAAACTCTTTCTGAAACATATTTCGTGCAAGAGTATTATGAAAAAATCATTTTGAAAAGTATTATATGTATTTCGAAAAGTATTTTCCAAAAATATGTAATGAAAAATATGTTCCAAAATATATTTCACATGTTTTGAAAATTTTATTCTAAAAATCTCGTTTCGGTCATTTGTTCTGAAAGTTTTGTTTCTGAAAATTTTGTTCCATAGATTTTATTTCGAAAATTTCAAAAATCAAAGATAAAATGAAATTTTCAAAAATTATGGGGTGCGGAAGGAAATTGATGGGGTGCTTAGCAATTACGTATTTGACAATTCTAAAACGGAAAGCCCATGGGTTGGTCTTACAATTTAGAGTGTTGTTTCTCCACCAATCACTAAATGTTCTCTACACATCCTCATACTTTTTTGCTCCTTCAATAATATTTATTTACTGTAATAAATTTTCATCAACATCCATGAAATATTTATAGTCCCCTTATAAGAATGCACCCCCACACACTCCAACTTCACGGAAATTAGCTCTCCCTCTCTTCTTTCTCTCTAACTATTTCATTGTCCTCTATGTGAGTGTGGTGGTGCTGTGAGTGTGTGTCTTAGTGCTGGCTGTGCTCGGTAGGAGGTTGCAAGTGATGCAAGGAATCAGTGGTGGCAAAGTTTGGTGTTTGTGATGGTGCTTATCGGAGGTAGTAGAGGAGGTTTCGTCTCAGGTGCGCGAAAAGATGGTAATCCTTCAACAAATGTGATAATTCGTCAACGGATATCAACATCTGTAACAAATGTGATAATTCGTCAACGGATATCAACATCCGTAACAAATGTGATAATTCGTCAACGGATATCAACATCCGTAACAAATGTGATAATTCGTCAACGGATATCAACATCCGTAACAAATGTGATAATTCGTCAACGGATATCAACATCCGTAACAAATGTGATAATTCGTCAACGGATATCAACATCCGTAACAAACGAATATCATCCTTGAAGGAAAACATTTTTAATACATGTTAATACATGCCTCGATCATGTGAATTGCTTGGTGGGTCTGCAGAATGGTGCTAACAATCATACAATTTCTTGTTCAATATGCAATGAAAAAGAAGTGAGGGAGAATATTGTTTATAGGATTGCTCTTGATATGATAGCTGAGATTGTTGAAACGTTGAACAGATTATGTTGGCTTCTACGAACCTGATGTTGTTTGCTGAAAGGTTTGGATTGGCTCCATCAGCGAACAGGAAAGCCACTGCAGGGCTAAAGCTGGAGGTGAGGGACTCAGGCTTGCAGACTGGTGACCCTGCTGGGTTCACTCTTGCAGACACCTTGGCCTGTGGTGCTGTCGGCCACATCATTGGAGTTGGGGTTGTTCTTAGTCTCAAGAACATTGGTGCACTTTAAACACCTTCAAAGCCTCACGCATCATGCATCTGTAATCAATTAGTCATGTACTTTATTTTCACTTCACTCTTTCTTCTTTCTCAAGCTTAACTTCATCTTCATCTTATCCTCTCCCTTCTAAACACAGCAAAATGTAACTATCATGAAAGCATTCCCTTCGATTCAAACTTTATAACAACGTAAAAAAAACCCACAACTAAGAGAAAAGCATTACATTTAAAAGAAAAAAAAAGTTTTACATTTTTATTTCACACTATGAAAAAGAAAATAGGTTACCTATCCATGGGAGACATTCAATAGAACTTAAAAATGTTTTAGAAATATTTGGTAAGATGCAAAACAAAAAGGTATAGTTGAACCTACATACGCTTTTTAATTTTATAGAATTCAGATATTAAATACACTATCCATCCACTTGTAGAGTGCAATAAATTTAAACTATAAAAACTTTAACTTTCATGTTGCTTTATAATTTCAAGGGCAGTACAGTGCAAGTACTCATCCAATTAAGCTTGGGAAAGATTGCACCCCTAAGGGACTCAATGGATTCCTTAATTTTCAATTCAAGGTCCGGAAAAGAAGGTGCTTGAAAACTTTCTACTTCATCTCTAGATCCCTCTGAAATCTGAAAATCTTCTCTTCCTCATATGGATTGTGAATTCATTTGGTAATTCATCTTCATTATTTGAAATCTCATTTATGCTCTTACATACATGTTTTGATCGTAAGTATGATAGAATAGAACATCATTATATTTAATTACTTTAAAAATATTGTCTGCTTTAAATCTCAAACTTTCATCACAATTTTTTTATTAAAAAATCTCTTAAAGAATTGTTTCGATAACCTAATAATCATACATCACTTAGATTAAGATCAATAATAATTTAAATACACATTCTTTCTTTTAACCCTCTAAGACAACATTTAAAAAAAAAAAGATAAAACTATGAGCTCCAAAATCAATAATAACTCAAATGTCAAATGTGGAGATTATGAACTTGAGATCATATGAGAAAATGAAATAACAATTCTAAATATTAACTTTCATTCTTTTATATTAAATTTCGCCTAAATACAAACTTTCAGTTCTCTGTATCAAATCTTATCTAAAATATAATATGAAGTGAAAAGTGAGTGGGAGTTCCATAACAATGAGAAATCCAACATAAACAATAATTTTTTTTTCTTTAAATCATTAGTTCTTTTCATTGAAGATAAATTAAAAAGTAAAATGAAACCAATTGAGGAGAGAAACAAAGGGACTAGTGAAAAATAATAAAGGAGATTCACACATCTTTTAAATTATTTCTACTATGTTTTGAGAGTAAAAAAAAAGGTTTTTCGTTAGATTGGATTATAAAACTGCTATCTGCCGTTGATTACTGAATGCATTTATAAAAATAATATATAGAACATATCCACTCTCCTTTTAGCTTTTAAAAAGCTTTAAAGTTTTGAATATTCATTTATTCTCCGAGCAAATATTTTTTTACTAATATTTAGTCAACAAATTGGATGCTTTTTAATATTTGAAGTAATATTTAATATAATTTTTAATATATAAAAGAGTTCTTAGTCAAAATAAATAACATTTAAGAGTGAAATAAATTTTTAGATTAGAAACTTTTAAAATTGGGCAAATGGTCATCTCATTGTCATACTACTTCGTAACTAAAGAAAAAATAAATAAAAATTTAAAATATTAAGGTTTTATTTAAGTTCTTAAAATTATTTTTATTTCGGTCCTAATATAAAAACTTAAATAATAATAATAATAATAATAAAACATATTAAAAAATAAAAACGAAAAATAAATTGATTCTACAGATTTCAAAAAATATATTTCATTTTCTAATTTAATAGACTTTAAACAAATTATGAATATATACAAAATTTACAAAATAAGTTAACCATTTATGTATATAAGTTATACTTTTTTTTTTGTATAAGTAAATACTTAAATTTGTTTCTAAATATTGAGGGTGATAACTAATAGTATAACATCCCAAAAATATATAGCATAAAGCATATATAAAGAAATTATCATATAATAATATTGTAGGACAGTTAAAGATGTTATAATAAGATTACACTTATCTTAAAATAACCATAAAATTTAAAGCTTTACCAAAGTTCTACACCATCTCAAAACTATAAACCTAACCGATCGGTAATACAGTATAAAAATGTAACCGAACGGTTCAACCCAAACACTAGAACAGTAATATGACCGAATGGTCATATTTTTAAACTACAGGGTTCTCGCCTTCCAACTCCTGCTCCGACGAACACTCCACATCCTCTGCTCATACCCCAAAAGGTGATAATCGCAAGAGAGAAAACCAAACGAGAACATGGATAAAATAGGAAATAAGGATAAGCTAATGTAATTTAATTGTGCAAACATACATGCATTTCATACAAATACAACCAATACAAATACAGATAAGCATATACAACTGGACACTATACTTCATGCATAAACCGAACACTTGACTTGACCATCCGGATTGTATGAATATGTAGCTTGAGGCCGTTCATGCACACAGGTGGTGTAGTAAATGAAAAACCATAAGCTGCCACCAGAGATTAGTCAATTATAACTCACCAAAGAACCTATGGGCTAGGACCTCCTGCCATTCTCACACAATGCCTTACCCATCTCTACTTGAGAATTGTTAATCATCAGAATATCAGGATGAACTCCGTGAATTTCACTATCCATATTCATACTATAACACCACTTTGATACACTTTTCACTGATACATTTACCACTTCAATACACTTTTCACTGAGACATTCCTCCTTGGAATTCTCTTCCACATTACTTGAAACATATGCCTTATTGAAAAGTCAATACAATTTCCCATATGCAGTAGGTCAATACAACTATCTCAATTCATCCAAGTCAAACAACGATAATAGCATTTAAAGATCAAATGTTCATTCATAGAAGAAATCGAACGTTAACAACACAAACTCCGAGTACGACCAAACGGAAAAGATCAACATAACCTATAAACAAGACTGGACGGAAGAACACTCTCAATATGTGAACATGACCGAACGGTCATTTGTAGAGTAAGACTCAAGCATGAGCCAAACACGATTTTAGGGTTGAACACCAGAGTATCTGAATACTAAAGTTAAACTGAATAATAGAATCTTAGGCCGAACACTTAGGGCTTAAGCCGAACGCTATTGGCTTAGACCGAACACTATTGAAATCGAATACTTGTACAAGACTTAGTACTACAAAGAGACCGAGTGCTAGTACAAGACCGAGCACTACCAAGAACGATTGCTAGTACGATACAGAGCACTACCAAGGACGAGCCCTAGTACGAGACTGAGCACTACAAAGAACCCACCCACACACCTAAGGACGAACGATCATGAACGGTAAGACTAAAGGGACCAAACCCAGTTAATGACCGAGTACCTGAACATGGCCGAGCGGCCAATCAGCATATGACCGAGCTGCCGATCGCTATGACTACCGAATACTAGTGTATGACCGAACGCTATAATCCTTCGAATACTACCAAAATCGAATGCTAATACATAATACTATTAATAACGAACACTAAACCTATTACGACTAATAACAAACGATAATACCCACCCTAAGACTACTAAGGTCGAAACGAATACCTTTAAAACTGAACGTCAATATTAAACCAAACCACACTTAACCAGATTATCACTACGAAACCGAATACCGTTTAAACCCGATTACATGACTGACCAGGCGTTGCTTGATTGATGATCGGAAGAAGAAGAAGAAGAAAGTGAAACTTTGTAGAAAGAAGAAAGAGAATTATAGAGAGAAGGAGGAGGAGATGAAGTCAAAAACTTAGAGAGAAGAAATGCATGCAGAATAGAGTGACACAAAATTTTTAAAAGTTTCTTTATATACTACCGTCAAAATCGATCGGCCACTCACCTATGCACACCTGACTTTCACTTTCTGAATTTCTAAATCCTTACACCTACATAATGGTTCGTACAAATAGTGGTTTCATTATTTTTTCTATAAAAATAAATAAACATTTGTACTAATTAAAAAATCTATATCATATCAAATAATAATAATAATAATAATAATAATAATAATAATAATAATAATAAATAAATAGGTAGATGAATATTTCAAGTAAATAAAAAATTAACTCCGAACCTGTGTGATGAAAACCTATAATAAGCCCCACACTCCTTTTTTTGGTATTTTCTTATTCTCCTCAAAACCCTCCTAAACAATCCTCAACTGTCAACTTTGTTTGTCATGAATTCATCTTTTGGTATAGCTTCATGTTCGCCGTACCCGAGGCTTCAATTTTTGCAGTGCTCGTAGATTGTGTTTTCAGGTTTGTTTTGTTTTCGAGTTTTGGTCTGGTTATTTATTCTTTTCTATTTGAAGTATGTGAATCTGATTTCCTCACTCTTGTTACGGTGATGTTTGTGGACTTGAATATTATTTATTTCTTTGAACCTCATATGATTATTTGTTTGTGGTTCTGTTGGCATTTTCCTTTTGCCCGCAAGCTGTTTGATGTGTGGTTTGCATGAAGGAAAAAAGATTTTGTTTGCGAAAAGTGATACTGGTATCTCGTTTTTATTTGTCATTGTTAGATAAAATACTTGATGTTGTACTTGAGTTGAGACTCTCCGATCTAATGAACTAGAATGAAGGAATGAGTTCTCCTCAGTCTTCACGTGGTTAAGTCCTAACAGAGTCCCACTTCATTCCCTGAAACCTCCACCTTAGATGTGACCCTCATGTCTCTTCTCTTAAGTGAACTCAACTACTTTAGGAAACAAGCAAATCATAGTCCCCAATGTTGTTTAGATCCCCATTTTCTTTAGTCTGGTTTCTTGTTGTAACTTCTTCAATCAACTTAGATAATATCATCTTGTTAATAGATGCAGAGTTCCTTATATCAAATTGAAGGTCTTCATTCTCATAAAAAAACTCCCTTCAACTTCATGATCTCTGCACTTCTTTAGATGAATGAGTATATTTAATTGAATTGAGTACTACTTGTATTAAATTGTCAATTTATTGTCTTTATAGATGGATGATCTAGGAGAAGAGAAAATCCTTGCATTGTTTAGAAGCACACAAAGACTTGAATGGGTATTGCTAACACTTTGGGACCATATAATTAATAACAATTTTGTTCTATAAATAAAATGAAAGAAACATAAAGTGCTTAACATCAGCCTAAAAAAATAAAATTCCAGAAATAGATTTGAAGTTCACTCTTTAGACAGAAACCAAAGCAATAGTATTTAGTTAAAAGAAAATTTTATATACTCTGATAAACATCTGATCTACTTTTTAGTTGGACAAATTATAAAAACCACTAATGCTTTGTTTGGATTGGAAAATGAATTTGACGGAGTTGGAAACGATTAATTTGAGAAAAAAAGAGGTGGAAGTGAGGATGTTTGGATCAAGAGAAAAATAGTAAGAACAGTAAGAAAACGAAAGAAAAGTTTGTGAATGTTTGTGAGTGATTTGATTTATATGAATGATAAAAAATGTTTTAATGGAGGAAATTGGGATATAACCAAATTGCCCATTTGGTGGAAATTATTATTGTTATTAGTTAAATTATAATTATTATTATTTTAACTATTACCATTATTACTGTATTGGGATTTATGGGTGTGGCAACAGATTTTGAGTTCATCAACCTAATTTAAGAGATAAAAGATGGAGAGGTTCATGTTCGTCCCATAAAAAAGCTATAGGCCTAATAACTGATTTTTCACTAAAATAGACAAGTTCGGCCCAATCTTATGCCCTTGGCATGAGTTCAATATTCTTATGGTCTTATTTTGTAAACATTTAACACAGAATTAGTCCATAGATATTTAAAGAGTTAAATAGCTAAAATATCAGAACTTTTAGAAATAACTTTTTCAATTAAGAACATGATGGAAGCATGTAGAGTGCCAAACTGCTTATCATCTTGGTATTGGATTTAAGTTCTGGTGGCTTTGTACAATTTAAAAAAAAAAGGCCCAACAGGCCAAACTGGATTTTTTTAACATCCTTGGAAACTTAACCTGCTGCACCTTTTCTTATATCTCTGAGCACCTTTATATGAATATGTGAAATGAAAAAAAAAAGTGGCAACTCAAAAATGGCGACGATGAAGGAGGGAGGGAGCGAGAAAGCCTCTACCCAATCTCTTCAACCATCGTGAATGAGCAGGTTCTCTTTTTCTTTTCTAATCTGTTCTGTGTTCATTGACCAACTGAACTGAATTTATTTTTTTCTTTGGCTGCTCAATTACGATGTGTCTTTGGTGAATTGTGAGAACTGGAATGCATTCATATTTGAAGCTTCTTTTAAACTGTCTTTCCATGTTTCTATTTTTGTGTGCTTTACTTTACTCATTGCAAAACTCGTGTCAGTCATGTGAAATTCCATTATAAACTGTATCAAAATCTAAAATATGTTAAATAAACTTTGGCCAATTTTGGATTAATTTCTCTGTAATTGAAAATGCAAGTTAAAATCAACATATCGGTTCAACTTTTGGACAAGTTAAGCGTAAAAACTTGTATAAATGTTAAAATGCATAGAGAAACTCAATTCATTTTACAGTTTTACCTTCTTATTTTCTTCATTAGTTTTGCATGGGCAAGTTTACTTGAACAGCACTTTAGTCAATGAAGCGACTAGAACTTCTAGCATACAGACCAAGCCACCGATTGCCTTTTTCTTATGCTTTTATCTAACCCATGATTCTCTGGCTCTTTTATTTTCTGATCAGATCAGGCTTCTGACACAAGGAATCAGATAGGATACTCGGATTGCTAGTATATAATTTGTACTGTTGACTTGATTTCTTGGATTGAGTTCTCTTGTTGGATCTGACCATAGTTGTACAGGGAAACATTTTTCAATTCTCAAACAAACTAAATGACTTCGATAACTTCCCAGTTCTCTTGGGTGCTTTCCAGTTCATCGTCAGTATTGGTAGCTAATGATAAAAGTAATAATGTGAGACATGCTAATTTTTCTCAAATCCCTTCCTGGTTCTCTTTGAAAAGCAGTCCTCCTTCATTGAGGACCAATCCAAATAAACAAGGCGAAGTTGAAAACTTGCATTTGATTTCTTTGACCAAACAAGGGAAGCTTAGAGAAGTGCATGAATTCATTGAAAGGATGGACAAAGAGGGTATTTCCATTAATACCCAATCTTATGAATATCTCTTTAAAATGTGTGGAACGCTGAGAGCATTGTCTGATGGAAGATTATTTCATAATAGACTGCAGGGATTCTCCAACAGCAATAGATTCATTGACAATTGCATCCTCCAAATGTATTGTGACTGCAAAAGTTTCACAGCTGCAGAGAGATTCTTTGATAAAATGGTTGATCGGGATTTGTTCTCTTGGGCCACCATTGTATCCGCTTACACAAAGGAAGGGCATACAGATGAAGCTGTTAGATTGCTCTTGCATATGCTGGATTTAGGGATTAATCCGAACTCCTCTATCTTCAGTACACTTATTATGTCCTTTGCAGATCCTTCAATGTTAGACCTTGGCAAACAGATACATTCTCAGCTGATAAGGAATGGGTTTGCTGCTGATATTTCTGTGGAGACATTAATCTCCAAAATGTACATCAAGTGTGGGTGGTTGGATGGTGCTGAAGTTTCCATTAATAAGATGACTAGGAAAAATGTTGTTGCATGCACCAGGTTGATGGTGGGTTATACTCAAGCTGCAAGGCACAGTGATGCTATGTTGTTATTTTCCAAGATGATAAGTGAAGGTGTAGAGTTGGATGAATTTGTCTTTTCTATAGTGCTCAAGGCTTGTGCTGCTTTAGGAGACTTATACACTGGAAGGCAAATTCATAGTGTTTGTATAAAACTTGGCTTGGAATCTGAGGTCTCGGTTGGTACTCCACTTGTGGACTTTTATAATAAGTGTGCAAGATTTGATGCTGCACATCGAGCTTTTGAGACCATATGTGAACCTAATGATTTCGCATGGAGTGCTTTAATTGCTGGATACTGCCAAAGTGGTAGATTTGACACTGCTCTAGAGGTATTTAAGACAATAAGAAGTGAAGGAGTGTTATTGAATTCATTCATCTATACCAACATTTTTCTAGCGTGCTCTGCTGTCTCAGATTTGATGTGCTGTGCTCAAATCCATGCAGATGCAATAAAAAAGGGGCTAGTTTCGTTCTTGTCTGGGGAGAGTGCTATGATCACTATGTACTCAAAATGTGGCAAAGTAGATTACGCAAAACAAGCATTTTTGACAATAGACAAACCTGATACTATTGCGTGGACTGCAATAATATCTGCTCACGCTTACCATGGCAAAGCTTCTGAAGCATTGAGTCTTTTTAAACAGATGCAGAGGTCTGGTATAAGGCCAAATGCCGTCACATTCATAGGTTTGTTAAATGCTTGTAGCCATTCGGGTTTAGTTAAGGAGGGGAAGCAGTTTTTGGATTCAATGAGCGACAAATATGGTGTGAACCCAACAATTGATCACTACAATTGCATGATTGATATATACTCTCGTGCTGGAATGCTACAGGAGGCTCATGAGATGATAAGGAGTCTGCCGCTTGAACCTGATGTAATGAGTTGGAAAAGTTTATTGGGAGGATGTTGGAGCCATAGGAATCTTGAGATTGGTATGATTGCAGCTGACAACATCTTTCGCCTGGACCCGCTAGATTCTGCTACTTATGTGATCATGTTCAACTTGTGTGCTTTGGATGGGAAGTGGGATGAGGCGGCCCAATTTAGGAAGATGATGGCTGAAAGGAACTTGAGGAAGGAAGTCAGTTGCAGCTGGATTAATGTGAAGGGTAAAGTCCACCGTTTTGTGGTAGGTGATAGACACCATCCTCAAACAGAACAAATATACTCAAAATTGAAAGAACTTAATTTTTCTCTCAAAAGGGATGGGGAGTGCCTTCTCAACGAAGAGGATGCTCTATCTGACTTTACTGAACGCAAAGAGCAGCTTCTTGTTCATAGCGAGAGACTGGCTATAGCCTATGGTCTCATGTGCACCTCAGCTGAGACCCCCATTATGGTATTCAAAAATACACGGTCATGCAAAGACTGCCATGATTTTGCAAAACGAGTCTCAATAGTAACTGGTCGTGAATTAATTGTGAGAGATGCCACTAGGTTTCATCATATCAATTCAGGGGATTGTTCTTGCTGTGATTATTGGTGATTTCAGCTTAGTTTGTTTAATGTTCTTAGCGGGATGATTTTTCTTAATGCTGCATCAATTACAGTATGGAATCATATATCATTTTATATTGACAATTGGATATGCAGAGCTTGTGTGAGGTTACTGCAGATAAGGCATCATAAACCACTGCATTGTACAAAACTCCTTTTTGCACTGTAGATATGCAGAACTTTGTCACCCTTCATGTTAATTCATCTAGGTCGATAGCTGGTTTTTTGCAGAAGTTGTCAGAGAAAGGACTATGCTTTAGTGCTATCACCACTAAATGCCTGAAAGTCTTCGATCTCTATGGTAGTTATTGATTCTGGTCAATCCAAGAGGCATGATGTGCATGTGATGTGAAGACACTTCAACGTTCAAGGCTTCATAGCAATCATCAGAGTAATAAATGTGTAATAATATAAATGGTAAATACCTCGAAATAGTTGTTTATCTATATTATTTTTAGTGAAATGAGTATAAGTATTTAAAGATGAGGTTTTAGTGAAATGGTATAAGTTGTTTTCTGCCAAATTCTGCAAATATTGGTGTCTTTGTCTTTTAGAATGATTGAAACAGTCTTAATACATATCTCTTGATAATTATCTGTACAAAAACAATATACATTGATCCATATGGTTCACACGAACAGAAGAAAAAGAAAAACACATTATATTGATGTCTTATATCTTGCATCTTCCTGAAAAAACATTTCTCAATTGTTCTTCATCATTCACCAATGTGATGGGTCTTTAATAGGAAAATTTTACTAGAGAAAAACAACATAAATATAATTTAAAACTCCATCCAACCCAAAATCATATGATAATGAATTTATGAATGTTTTATTTCATAAAACAACTTGACACATGCAAACAACTGAAAAGATTATAAAAGAAAGTCACTAGAAAGGGAATGGACAGATAAATAAATAAAAGTTAACCATTGTTTCACACTCTGATAGAGATGGAGATCAGCATGTTCTCTCATGTGTCGAGTGCTTTCTCTTCTTATTTCATTAACGCTAAAATATTTGTGAGACAAAATGTATGATAGCACAATTAGATGTGTAAATATTCTCTCATGAAAGAAAAGTATTTCTAAAGATAACTACCTATCATAGCATAAGTTATATGACATATTTAACAATCACAGCTCCAGATTTTGGTGTTATTAGAACTCACACACACGTGTCTTCATAAAACCTGTTTACCTAGGAAAAAGCAAAATGTTAATTCTATTGTAAAAAGCTGACAAAACATACATATTTCCTGAAACGTGTAGATATTTCTTTGCGTAAGTCTTTTCGGATTTGAAGACCTCAAAACTAGTAAGGATTTCTAAAAAGAGTATAAAATAACCTAAAATATTTTTAAAAGAAAAAAAGAGGATAAAACTAAGAAAGAAAAGAATTAGAAAGATAAATTTGGTGTGTTTTTAGAATGGAGAAAAACTCTCTCTTTATAGAGATAAAAAAATATAAAATCAATAAAAAATAATAAATATATTTAAATGTTGGAGCACTTAAAATTTTGATCATTGTTCTTAAATGACAATTAAAAAAATGTTAACGTTGCCAAATACTAACATTACAGTACAAAGTTTTCATATTTTGCAATATAATAATAATATATTATAAAAAATTCAACATTGATATAAATTATAACAAAAAAAATCATAAAAAAATAATGTATTGTTTGTGCTTAAGATGAGATTTGATATGACTAAACGTCTAGACTAAGTCAAAATGCTTCTAAATCCTTCCCAACCAATTGAAACTTTTATTGGAGAGATATTTAAACAACAACATCTCGAACGTTATCAATCAGTATCCAGGTCCAATCATATTGTAGAAGAACACCATAGATGATTAACTCTCCCTCTAATTGTTGTCCAATTATGACTGGATGTGGAAAATTATCTTCAACATTTTCAACTCATACTGATTTGTATATGCTTATTATTTCAAGTGGAAACTCAAAAACAAACACACATGGCCATAAAAAATTGATTAAAATAAAAAGATATCTCATTTACTTTAAGTTTGTCAATTAATTTGGGCAGAATCACGTTATTAAGTGATTTTATATTAAATCGTCTAATGCGCGATACCAAATTGTATAATGCAATTTTTTTATATGCACATAGTCAATAAATTGGATTTGTCTAATCTCTAACGATTTTAGACTAAATGAGTTACAAATTCAAATCACCACCTGTTTTAAGTGTTATAAACCAGTGGGTTGCCGACATCTTTCTTTAAATATTATTTATATTTGGCAACTTTGTTTTTATTTTATTTTTTTACTTTTTTTTTTTTATAATTAAAGTTCATTCTATATACAAATTAAAAAAAATTAGAAAGATTCCATTAGAGAGGTTTGACAAATTAATTTATAAACAAATTTTAAACTATAAAAAGTATTTTATTTTTTCTTCTCTTAACAGCGCTTACAAACAAATTTATCTAAACATGATAAAACACTGACAAAATTATTTATTAAAAAGGTGGGTAATGAAATGTTGCATATAAAAATACGATTTAATTTAGTAATAAATTTTCAAATAGGTTAAATTTATAATCTATTCGAGTTTATAAATCCTTTTTCTAATTAAATTAAATTTTACCAATTTAACTTTTATCACAAATTACTTATATCATAAGTTATTTGAATTATTATAAGAATTAAAAATCTAAGTGTACTTTAACATATATCAGATATAATAGTATAGTTATTTCTAAGAATGCACGTTGAGTAATAGTTTATTGAAAATATTGAAAGAGTAGATTTTGTATATGAAAGAATATACAAGGAAGTTGTTTTTTAACAATTTTCTTACAACTTTTTTATAATAATATATGTGATAGTTTATGGTTTCGTTTTAAATATACAAATTAATTATTAAAAGGTTGTTAAAAAAATTATTGATATATCATAGTTTTGAAAAATGTGTTTTTAATAATTTATTTTTCTAACTTTGAATCGCCCGAAAGAGTGTTCTGAAATAAAATATGATTGCATCGTACTGAAATACGAAATAGGTAATAGACAAAATGCACGAAAACAAATGAGTTTTACAAGTTTTGCCAAAACCGAGCCATTCGATGAACATGGTCAAAAACTTCGACTGCACAACGCTTTCTAATATTTTTTCAACCCAAAACAAAGATAACTTAAACTAATTGCTAATCATTATAACAATATCATACCAACGTTTTTGCTGAAATACTTTTCAGATTTGATCTGGTTGTCATTTAACGTCGTATTTTGGTCTCATTTGATCTGTTTCTAGGTAGCCTTAAAGTTCTTCACTTCGTCTTTTATAAATAATTCTCACTTTCAAAATTTAAGGATTAGTTTAAGTTTTATATTAGATAAATATAAAGAAGTTGTAAACAAGAAAACAAATTTATAAATTTATAATCTTAAAATTTATTTTCAGTTGAAGCAATGTGAAATTTATGTAGATTTACTTCAAATTTAATCGGTATTGTATTATTTTAATATATTTCTTTTCTTAAATAATTTAACAATCAGTTTTTAACAAGAAAAATTATAAATATTAAAAATTTAAGTGAGAGTTTAAGTTTTATATTACATAAAACATTATATAATAATAATAATAATAAAGAGTCATAAATTTATTATTTTAAAATTTTAAATTGAGAGATAAAATCAACTATATATATATATATAATTAAGTTGGATTTTTATTAGTATTGTAAAACTCTTCCTCCAGGATGGCACATGTCTAGTTGGCACCAGCTTCCAAATTTAGGCTGTCTTTCAACTCACAAATTTGTCTTGAATTTATGTGACAGCACATTATTTGATCTGATATAGATATGGGGTTCTTGAATATGTGACAGCACCAGCTTCCATTTTTTTTTCAAAAATAATAAATTGCGATGATATTTAATATTGGTATAACATGCACAATTTGAGGCTAAATTAGAATTTAAATTTAAAGTATCTCTCATAAGAAAATATTTTTAATGACTGTTTATGCATCTTAAGTATATGTCTATTGTTTAGATTATTGTTCATGTATGGTATTTAAAGGTTTGTACACTTTTTAAATGATTATTTATATTTTCTAAGTAAATGTTTATAAATTAGTCTTGTCTTATTAATGTATTTTTATATATTTATTATGTATGAATTGTTTTTGGAAAAATAAATTAAAATTTAATAAAAAAAATCATTAATGATGAATTATAAAACTATTATGAATTTTAAAATTAGTTACTGAAGTTGATCAGTAATAGTTACTACAATAAATCAGTCGCTCACATAGGTAATTACTTTTAATAACTAAATCCATCATTAAATTCTATTACTAAATTGTTAAATCACTAAATTACTTTGTTGACATTTGTTGTTGAATTAGTCACTATGCATTAGAATTATAATGACTGAAGTGAGCTGGTGATTATACTTGTAATTTATTATTTATTGTTCCAATTTCAGTCACTATTTGATGGTTTTATTATAAAGAAATTCTAATTATTGATGGAAAGAAAACCCGTGGAGGATGCCAAAAATATGTCAGTAACTGGATATTAATAATGGATACAAATTGATTGGATTGACATAATTATTTGGTTTAATACATCATTTGGTCTCAAGTTTAGAGAGTTATGTTCAAAGTCGTCGTACTTTTTAAAAAAGTTTACTATTGTCCCATATTTCGCTAAAAACGGTTCAAGTTGGTCCTTTTGGCATACGTCGTTAAAAATATTACGGTGCAATGATGTGGTAACTGTGACCTGTCCAATTTTTTATGACGCGACAATTGTGACCCAATTGACATGGCTAAAAACCCTAATTTCCCTAAGGCCAGAAACCCTTGTGCCACCACCGTGAAACCCTAGCCGACGACGCTGCCGTAGAACGAAACGCGCCACCACCAAACCCTCTGGCCACCATGTCGCCGTTACCACCATCAACACACACCTACAGTTCGAAGCATAGAAAAGTAACAGAAAATCCAGAAATCAAACCTAAATCGCCTAATTCCAACCAAACTCTAATCACCATGAAACCCTAAACCGCGTAGCTAGTAATCAGGGTAAAGTCTCCACCATGCGTCGCGCCTCATCATCATTAAGCAAGAACTGAATCGAAATCCCTAACCTGTAAACTAGAAATTCCAACCCAAATATGAACAAGAAATCGCAATCGAGACACCTAGAAACCCAATTCACAC